AAATTCTTTAGGTATTGTAATATACCTATTCCAAAACAGTTATATGTATTTTTGATAAAACGTTATATTTACATTTCTACACTCAGAAAAATAATTGGGTTGATTTAACTATATTCTGACTAAATTTCAGATCAAAATATTCTTATTCGACGCATCATGTTAGTTCATATTACATGTTGGTTACATGTTGGTATCTAACAAAATGATCACATCAATTTAACTTCTATATGGTTCGAGTACATTTTTCTGAGTGTATACTAAGGAAATGATCAGGTCAATTTAACTTGTATGTATTTCGAGTATAGTTTTCTGAGTCTATACTCGATTTTCTCATGAAGGATAACATAAAATAATTTATTTATAAAACATTAAGAATGAATATTCTTGTCCTTCTTAAAGTTTTAGGTATTATTTAAAATAAATAACACTTTTCTTTAATAATATCTTGTGGGATCATATATTACTAACTTATATATGTCAACATGTTTAATGTTTCTTGATGTATCTTTACTAAGGTTTAAATTTCAATCTCAATTCTAAATCAATACAAATATAAATTCAAATTAATAAATTTAATAGGCTACATAAAAACCTAATTTAACAAATTATTTACAGAAAATTTTAAACTGAAGTATTTATAGGATTATTTTTCACTCTACAATAATAATTAAGTTGTAAAATTTGACTGAACACATCTTGTCCTCATTAATTTTTTACAATAGGATTGATGCATGTCTTTGCTATTACTTTGCTTTTAAAGTAATAATTAGAATAAAACATTAGTAGAGTTAGTTAATGTTACATTCATTCTTCACTTAATCTAAATCTTTCGTTGGACTTGTTCTTCGAAACAAGTCCTATCCTATAGGATATAGTTATCTGCAACATAGAACTATATAAAATTTTCTTCTTCAGAAATGAAGAATATTTCTTCTTTTACAGAACGATTTTCTAAAATATTCAGTAAAATATATTACCAAATTACACTCCAGATAAAAACCATAACTATATAGAAACAGACACAGTTAAAGGTATATCTTAAGCTGGGTGTTTTGAACTAGATGAATTTTATTACCAAATAAGAATTTTAGAGATATTTTTTTTAAAAATTTGTGAGATTATTTCAGTTTCTACAGAATACACTATTATCTTCATTGTCATCTTCATTGTAAGTTACACGAAGAGTTAAATGAAAGAGTAAAACTGTGATGGATAACACATAGAATGTACTTAGATGCCGTTTTAATCATTTTATGCTCCTACATACACAGGGATTCGGTACTATATAAATTCCTTATTCATAACTAAGTAAAATTTATTTTCCTTAAGAATTGCGTAGTTTTTCAAAGTCCACTCCTCTAGGAAAAATTTTTTTAGCGTACAAATCATACATCATCTGGAAATTAGGGTTATTAGTTTTTTTTTCTTTTTAGCATTGGCTGCGAAGATTTGCATTTTAGAAATCAAAATCTGTGTTTGAGATTACATATCAAGCATAAGCTCCATATCAGTTTATTGACAGTCAGCTATATTTAGGCTTGGAGAATGTGATATTTCACATTAATATATCATAGATTTATAGTTGCTATTTGCTATATAAAAACCTATAGAAGATCTTATGTTGTTCATGGTTTTATATTCATATATATATATATATATCTAGAGTTTGTTTAAAGTTAGATTTATTAATTCTTTGAGTACGCCATTTTATAACTTAAACAATTTATTTGAAATTTACTAGTTTCATTTAGTTAATCTCATTAACCGTAAATCAATTATTGACCAATTTGTGCCTAGCCATACCAGATAGACGTGTAAAATCTATAAAGATTTAGATAAAGATAAAGTAGGTATTTTTGGAATTTATATAAATACTTAATTGGAACTAAAATCTAAATTCTGTGGTTCTTCTACACAGAACCGTGAAAATTATTAATTCTACTGCTATATATTGTAGTTGTTGTATTTGTCGCTATAACAAAATTATTTAAGAACTAATATACTGATAATATACCGAAAGTCCATATTGGTATTTTCAAAAAGAAAGAAAAAAATGATTGATAGAATAAATAGGAAGTCTATTACTTGAGCAGCTTGAAAACACATTTCTAAAGTCTATTTATTTTCCAAATCCACATTGTTCTGTTTTATAAGATCTGTGGATTACCAATTATTTATGTGCTTTGTCAAAATATTTCGAATTTAGCAGGATTAGGTGAAGTTGATCAAGTAATGATAAACTAATATGTTCTTGCTATTTTATGACGTGCCTGTACTTCTAGGACTTATTAATCTACATTCATTCTAATTTAGAAGTTCCGCTGTTTTTAGTCCAAAATTGTGGTTAATAATTAATTTATACTGAAGCTGAAGTCTTTATTTAAATCAATATTTCACAAGGTATAATTCATCAATTCATACTGACTATATTTTATAAAAAGATGTATGCTTTCATATATCTAATTAAAAAATAGTTAAATAAATATTCTACAGCACATTTTGTAATTTAATAAGACTTAATAACATTTAATTAAATGTTAATGTTTAAATGCTAAGTTTTTTGTTTTGTTTGTAACTTGTTTTTTGTTTTTTAAGCTTGTTTTTTGTGATCGTTACTTGTAAAAATGTTAAATATTTTTGATTCTAATTGTTTTGAATAAGAGTTCTTTAATGGTAAATTATCTAAGTGTACACAATTTTTTAACAGTAATTTATTAATTTACCAATTACTTAAGTTTATTTAAAATAAGTATTATTAATTACAAGTATAATTATACAATATGAGTCACGAGTGAAGATTTCTCGAAATATTATGTATCATAAGAGTAAGTACTATAATAAGAAGAGTGAATATATATATGCAAAATCTTTCTATTTAAAATACTAAAAAATTAGAAAATGATTCTTTGGAAAAAGAAACTAATAAATGTATAATGTGGTAACCAAGAAAAAGAGTAATGTAGTAATCCTTAACCTATAAATCTTAAAACGACTTCCATTTCAATATATACATAAACCTTCTTTAGAAGTTAAGTATATTATTCATGACAGTTTCCTAAAAAAATAATGCTGTTTTCTAAACTTATAAGAAAACAAGGCATAAATATCATACTAAACAACTTAGATAAAAAAAGATATTCAATAAAAATTATAGGGAATTTTTTAAGGTTAAAAGTAAAATAAATCGTAATATCTAAATCTAATTTAAAAAAAATATATATATAAGTTTCACATACTGATCGCTTTGGATATCACTTTATACGATTTTTTAAACACAACTTTCTACACCACTTCTCCAATACTTAAATGGATCCTCTCTCAAAAACTGTATTGTGAACAATTAATTATAGTAATTTACATTATAATTTTAAATTCAATTTAACGAAAATTCCGAATATGACATCAAATGCTAAAAAATTTTATTAATTCGTACTTGACGACAAATGCGGACGTGATCCGTCCTCACGTCTGAGTGAGGAGCTACCAGCCAACCCGATCAGCGGCTTGCTGTCGTCCATTGATAGTACCGAGAGCACTCTAATATATGGTCACCTTGTCCTTCCACCGAAAATACGGACATCCTCTACCGCGTTTTCCATCTGCGAATACCAAATGAAACACCTTTCTAGCCATCGCACTTTCTTCCATTTTCACGACATGACCAAACCAGCGAAGCCGCTGAATTTGTATGCACTTCACCATGTTAATGTCGCAGTATAGCTCATACAGCTCACTGTCCCATCTAATTCTATACTAGTTGCCAACTTCTTCTCATCACTGTTGGTAATGTCGAAGCTTCAGCACCATACAGCAGGACAGGCATGATAAGAGATTTGTAGAGCGTGATTTTTGTTTGTCGATAGAGGACTTTATTTCTCAATTGCCTACTTAGCCCGAAGTAACATCTGTTGGCAAGAGTGTTTTTTCATTGAATCAGACGTCATTTTTGGTGTTTATGTTGGTTCCTAAATAAACAAAGTTTTCTTAAGACACTCAGGATATTTGTTTGTTGAAAGAATGTACTTTGTTTGGTTCTCGTTTACCACAAGATCCATTTGCTTCGCTAGTTTAATCAATTCAGAAACTAAATTTAATTATGAAATGAGCTCGGCTCACAAGTTTCATTATCCGATTCTAGTTATGACTGCTTTAAAAGCTTTAATAATGATTAAATCTTTAAGTAAGTTTTAAAATCTTAAAACTCAACAATTTCTATATAGAGTTAATATGGTATCTTCAGAGTCCAATGGATGGCGCATAGTCAAACAGATTAACCTAAACTAACCTTTGTTGTTGTTGTTGTTTTACTGTGGGTTCTATCAGTACGTGACAAACTTATAGTTCTTCGCACGTACGGGAAATTCGTTAGTTGTATAGAATCACAGATAGTGGATAATGTTAATGAGAAGTTTCGGGATATATGTATTTAAAAGATTAGCTGTTTTTGTCTGGTAAGTTATCTGATTCTGTTTTCGAATATGTAGCATTTTTACAGTTGTTATTGTATTATATTTTTTCATTATCATATAAATGTAGATCAGTATTAGTATTACAAACATATAACAGTGCATTAAATACACTTCTGTGATTGTGATGAAATCTTTCAACTCACAATGACATAATTTTGTTAACTAGTCACAGAATTGATTACCATAGGTCATATACTTTTATGACCTATTTATGCGCAATTAGCTTATTAAAATTTGATTCCATACAATTCCAAAAGAATTGTATATTTTTCTAACATTTTAAATTTAATTATTAATTTCTAATGGAATTTTACAAATTCTATCATATATGCACAATATGTAAATTATTTGTAAATATATTTTCTTATTGGTCAAATTCACATTGGTAGTAGAACATTGATTATTACGTATATAATGTACGCACTAATTTTATATAGAAGACTTTCTTCCTACTAATGTAATAAAAAAAACTCGCTTTACATTTGTTAATTAAAAATATTTTTATTTCGAAAATAAGATAGCTTAAAATTATTTTACATGCATAAAAGTGAAGTTTACATCGGTAAAATTTAAAATTTAGTATTTAAAATGTGCACCCCAATACTTAAAGAATTTAGTTAGTTAACCCTTAGAAATCGCGTCTTATCGTATTACATTTTATTATGTAAGGACGATCGAAAATCTTCACTGCTACCGGATGAAAACTTCCTTTGTAGTGCGGCAGCTATCCCCATTTCATTTGTAGGTAAATTATAATCATTATAATCACGTGGAGGTGTGAATGGACGTGAAAAACGATGCCAACTATTTGGTGGACTACTGTTGGGTTCATATTTCGGGCGAGGGATACGCAGTTGTTTAATTTCCATTAAGTAGGAATCCATATTTAACAAATTATTGCTTCTAAAAAGAAAATACAAATGGAAAAATAATTAAATGATATTTATAGACATATATAATTAGACTTTTATAAATATATTTATTATAATTATACACATTCATATAGATGTGCACATATTTATATAGTTTTATATAAGTTATATGTAATGTTCAAGCTGTTCAAATGCATATGAATTCGAACATAAAATTTTCGAATTCGAAATGTTTAAATTTGTTTTCGATCTCTATTTGCATAACATATTGTATAATTTTGTATAACAGTAACTGCTTTGTCACTAAATGATGTTCAAAAATGTTCTAAAATGTTGCACAAATTATTCAAAACTCAAAATGCTGGAATGTTCGCATATTACGAATATTATTTGCAGGTCTACTTTTTATACTTTCACTACATAGGCTAAATTTTGGCTAATTTGTTGCATAAACTTCCTTTTTTTTATGTGAAGAAATAGAGTATTCAATAAATAAATGACATCATATATTATATTTATTATTTTTAAATTTTATTTAAAAAAACTTTATCTTTAAATTTTAAATTATTAAGTTATATCTTTCTGTTTTTGTTTAGTAATGTTGTCAACTTATTACTTATTTCTATCTTAAAACAAAAATGTATACTGTAGTACAAGATAAATAAATAAATCATTATTTAAAAATAGAACAGTACAACTTTCAAATTTTTAAAAATGTTATTATTAAAATTATATGATTTAATAAGTGATAATTAAGCAATTTTTACACTCTTACTAAAATATTCCACTGTGAAAAATAATGACTGGTACAAGCTTAGACTTGATAATTAAATTAATATCTTTTAATTGAATAGTCCGATATATATAGCTTTTTTTTATATCCAAGTTTTACATTAAGTTTTGTTTAATAATATACATATATATATAAATTCATATACAATACAAAGTATTTTTAATAAAAATACATTTTGTATGAAATTACAAAAAAAAATTTCATACAAATTTTGTATGAAATTTGGCAAGTATGAGTTATATCAAAGAGTATATAAAGATGTTTATATACTCTTTGGTTAGATTTTATTTTTAAAAATAAGAGTTATTCTTGATTTTTATGTTTATAAGACAAAAATAACAGTTATTTGTGCGTTTTAAAATAAAAAACAGGGTGTAAGAGTTATTTCTGCTTGGAAAAAATAAAAGTCACATAAAATAATTATTTTTGATGAATATAATATGCAGCAAATTTAATTATTATTTTATGAGTTTTATTTTAAAAGGCATATATATAAGAAGCATGCATAATATTAAGAATGAAAGTTATTAGAATGATGACTTCCTACTTAAATATGAGTTTAGACAACTTTTTGTTCCCGATTTTTTTCTCAAAATTTTTTCTTTGAAATAAAAGTTATTTTCGGTATTTGTTTTTTATTTGTTAGTTACAATTTATTAAAGAGTAATATATTTTGACAATCATCAAAATTTTAATTTTAGTGTATATCACATATACACTTCATATTTTAATTTTATATATACGTACATATATAATACATAATATAATATATATAATATATATATAATACATTAATTTTACTGACTAATTAACATCTGAAAAGACCACAGTACTTTTACAACGTATAATTTATACTATTTAGATAGCATTATTTTAATTAATATGAAAGTTAAGGAAATAGTTAAATATGTTTAATAAAATAACTTGAATTAAATTTAATTAAAAAAAATCAAGAAATAAATAAAATTAAGTCATAATTAAGTCTGTTAAACGACATAACATAAACTTAATTAATTGTTGCAAAATTTGCACAAAAGAATACTGGCACGACTGCAAACATCCAGGCAAATTGAGTTGATTGTTCAGATGGAAAGTGAAAGTACATTTTCCAACAAAACAGCAAACAAGAAAATAAAATGTTATATATTTGTGTATATTAAAGTATAATAGAAAATAAAAAAATAAATAAATAAATAAAGAATTATAGTAAAATGGGGAAAAAGAAAAGCAAACGCTAACCATGCACATGCGCAATCTCGTTGCATTTTGTAAAAATTTTATTAAAAATGAAATGAAGCAAGAAATGGAGTTGCCACAATTTTTGTTTAATTTTAATTTCATTGCTGCAACTCATTGCGGCGGAAAATACGTTGTTGCAACTCCGCAGTTTTCCGGTATTGAAATTATGTTGTTATATACCGCTTTGCCCCCACAACAAAAGAGTTGTGTATTTTTTCACACTACAAATTCAAGCAAATTTAGTATTAAACCAAGCCAGGCGTCGCCGCACACAAGTTCATTGAAACTGAAATAAAAATTATGAAATGTGGAAGCTTAGACTTTGCTTTCAAGCTGTTAACTTGCCTGTGTCGTTCGATTAAATGTACATAAAATACATATTCTATCTTGACATGCAAGTATCTGTATAGTAAATAAAATAGTCAAGTAGAACACCGACAACTGAAAGGGTCACTAAGCAAATGTTTAGCAATCAACAGAAAGTAGACACTTAAAATTTTTACCCAAAATAGAGGTCGCCTACCTACTGGCACAATACGAGTAATTGTGCAACGCCATGAACAGCATAAGCAATTGAACCATTTGACCAGTGGACCTTCTTGCCTTACCCCACTCCTTGTCCCTGCCATGACCAACTTGACACAATTCTAAATACCTGTTTTACAACGTCGTGTCGCAGTGTAAAATCTCTAAACTTTACGAGTAGTATTTAGAAAAACGTCTAGCATTAATAGCCAACTTAGTTGCGTATCTTACTTTTCTCAAAAGTAAGACTCAAAACTGGGTCGATAGAGAAATGTACTGAAAACGTTCAGATGTTATATGTGTGCATTCAAATGTAAACTTTTTTGATGTGTCTAAAGTACAAATGGAAAGTAAATGGAGTTTCCAAGTGAATGTTGTTTTATGTTTGAGCAACAGTTGGTCTTTCGGTTAGTTTTTCGGTTGAACGTCAAGATGGCAACAAAACCGAACCATAGCTCTGCCAAAGCAACAAAAACAAAATAAGGAAGTAACAGACTTTACGCCCACCTACTGAACGCCGTGGTTTTACTGTTAACATAAAAATTAATTTATTTTGTTTGTATTGCAAATGCGTCTTTACGACTTACTCCGCAGTTTGGCATTGTGTAAAAAAGATTAAAAATTATTACTTAATTTAGAAAAATTTGTTGTGACCTTATTTAATAGTAGAAATATCTCAAAAAGATCTGAGATTATTGTCTTTGAACAATGAAAACTTTCATTTCATGAGTAACAAATGTTATTTTTTTTTTAAACATTTTATTTTATTTTTTTTTTGTTTGATGATAAATAGAAATTTATTACTTAATTATTATTATAAGTTATACCAGTAAAATTTTTCTATTATATTAAAAAAGAATGTTAAAAAAAGTTTTATTTAGAAGATTGAACACAACAGAAGATTGAAAGAACGACACTTTCAAGAAGTTTTTAATAAAATATTAAAAATATGAAATATTTATGGAAAGCGATTTTTTACATATTGTTTATATTTGTACATATTGGTTAATTTAGTTAAACACAAATATTAGTATTAATAATAATAATTAGTAATAAATAATAATAAAATAATAATAAATAATAATAAAATAATAATAAATAATAATAAAATAATAATAAAATAAGAATAAAATAATAATAAAATAATAATAAAATAATAATAAAATAATAATACAATAATAATAAAATAATAATACAATAATAATAAAATAATAATAAATAATAATTGTGTTTGTCCTTTATTTCTTTCTTTGCTATTCAAAATCCCTCTAAATTTAATAAAATAATGATAAATAATAATAAAATAATAATAAAATAATAATAAATAATGATAAAATAATAATAAATAATAATAAAATAATAATAAATAATAATTGTGTTTGTTCTTTATTTCTTTCTTTGCTATTCAAAATCCCTCTAAATTTAATAAAATAATAATAAATAATAATAAAATAATAATAAAATAATAATAAAATAATAATAAATAATGATAAAATAATAATAAAGTAATAATAAAATAATAATAAATAATAATAAAATAATAATAAAATAATAATAAATAATGATAAAATAATAATAAATAATAATAAAATAATAATAAATAATAATTGTGTTTGTTCTTTATTTCTTTCTTTGCTATTCAAAATCCCTCTAAATTTAATAAAATAATAATAAATAATAATAAAATAATAATAATAAATAATAATAAAATAATAATAAAATAATAATAAAATAATAATAAATAATAATAAATAATAAAAAATAATAATAAAATAATAATAAAATAATGATAAAATAATAATAAATAATAATAAAATAATAATAAATAATAACAAAATAATAATA